ACCCACTGCGGCTACGTGCGGGCCGCTGAGCCCAGCGCGTGCAGCAAACTGCATTTCAAAGCACCAGAGTTACGGTGTCAGCACAGGAGCGGGACTGCAACACAGACACCCGCTGGCTGCCTGCCTGCTTGTACTGCAGAAACCAGAGCAAAACACATTCTGAGCAACGCAACGCCTATTTGCTCTAAAACATTTACCTTTGGAGGTAACTTTATGCCTTTTCTGGAACTTCTTTTTCCTTAAATGCTATGAAGTTCAACCAGGGCTGATCACTGTGGACTTACTGGGGTCTGGCCCAGTTTAACTAGATGCCTTTACAAGTACACACAATCAGACTGGGAAGCATTTTTCTAGTGACATGGCAAAATCAGCTGAGTTGTGAGGGGCCCCTGAGGCACACAAATCAACCAGGACCTGCTCATCTCCATGGCAGCTTGCTGCTTTTTCATGTGCAGTTATCACAGCTGCTCTGTCACTGCCACCCTTGCCAGGGGAGCAGGTCTGGGAACGCTGGGGCAGGGTGGAAACCTCCCCAGCGCTCCTCAGCCTCCACGGCTTGGCTGGGTGCCGTTACGGTGGATGCCCGCACAGATCTGACGGGCAGGGCTGGCCCAGCCCCGCCGCGGGGTGGGGAGAGCGGGGAGGGCCCCCCCGCCACACCAACGGGAGCTGCAGCCCGTCCTGGGCACGAGGCTGCTCCCACCTCTTGGAACTAAGGCACAGGAAATCCAAAGTCACTCCCGGAGCACGTGCTGCTGGCCTGGATGCAGCACCAGCCTGAGGGGGTTGTCAACGAACGGAGTTGCGAATGTGCCTTGACTCTACCGTGATAATAAGAAATCGATACCAAGAGGACACAACCGCTATACATGGCTTTCTAAGTCATCACAATATTTGCTTTTCCCCCCTTACCTTCTCTCAGGTACAAGCTATTCAGTTTTCTCCCTGCAGCAGAGGGAAGAGGCCAGCAAGGCGCTATCCTACTGGGGCTCTGCCGGCTGCAGCGCCGAGAGCAGCAGGGTCCTGGCAACGAGAGCCAGGCAAAGCCCGGCCGCAGAGCGGCGGCTCCAGAGCTCCTCACCTGCAAACAGCCTGCCAGCCCGCAGCAGCGGCCCCAGGGAGGAAAGGCAACGAAAGAAGTGACCAGCAGCGTCTACTACTGCACTGGAGCAAAGAGCCGAACAGCAAGAAAGTCACAGCTCAGAGGAGAGAGAAAGCAATATATAAACACCACGGCAAACCCAAATCTTCACCTTTCTGCTAGGAATGGGGATAAAGAGCATCATTAGAATCCTGCAGGTGAGAGCATCATTCTTCATGAAGCACAAGAGAGTTTTTCCAGAAGCGGGTGAATGCAGCTCACAAGACTTCTCCTTTCCATCTACGCAGGTTTCATGCACTCCCACAAACCTGAGGAAGCCCAACCACGCTCAGCACCGGCCTCCTCCTCTACGCAGAAGTTGGCGTAGCTTACCCACTGACAGCAATAAAGTGCTCCTGCTCACTTCTAGACTGGTATAAGGCATTAAAGCCCGTCAGACTACACGGGCAGCCCACAGGTTTACGCGGTTTATGTGTATACTATTCCAAATTCATCAGGGCTCTTCTTTTTGCCAATGCATTTTATCATTTCCTCCTCCTCGTGAAGCAAGCCCAGGAGAGCACTTACCATCTCACCCTGTGCCCTGTTCTCCTGCGGTGTCACTGGCACTTGTCCCGACCCCGCTCCTGGGCATGACATTTTGCTCAGGACCCCTGTACTGTGCTCGCTGGGGGCTGAGGCTTTTCAGGGTGCTCCTCAGCAGCAGCAGCTCGGAAAAGCCTCTGGTTCCAGTGGACACTTTTCCCTCGCCCTTTATGGGATCCTGGGGTTTTAAAGTAAACAACTCATTCTCTTTCTGATAAGTCATATTAAAATATTGATCTGGGGGAGGGAGATGACCCTCCCTGCACAGAGCCACAGTCACCTTTAGTCAAACAGACTGAAGAAGAGAAAGAAGCCCCGACAGCCCAATTTTCCCTGTGCCTTCAGACAGAGCACTTGTGGGCAGGGAAAAAGGTGGGAAAGTGGGAAGTTCTATTAACCTGGCCTGAAAGAAGTAAAATTGTATGCTTAAAAATGCTATTGCACTGGTGTGCCAACTATATATATATATATAAATTTTTTCCCCCAGCTGCCGATGTTTGTTTAACCCCAGGATGAAGAGCATTTATTTAGCTTCCTGTTAACTGGGTGCTCCTCTCAGTGAGAGTGGCCACATCAGCTCCGTGGATCAAAGTGCTAACCTTCCTGATTACTGCTGGAATTTGCCATGCTTTTCCTTTACTTATTCCCATTTACTGTCCTTTCTGCACAGGCACATTCAGAATTCTCACCACCAAGGAACCTGTGTGCATTTTTAACGCATCTTACAACATACCTATGTGCCAGGGAAAATAAGTCTGGTTTGAGTTAACCCTATCTGAACACAGAGGGCAAACCCAGGAATTTAACACAAGCCTGAGGATCTCACCCGGATGATGAACCGCTTGCTCTCTCCTTGCTTTGCTATAAGCAAATCTGCAACAGAACCTCGGCTTCTGTTCTTGTTAAGACACCTTCCCGACCACAACTAGAGCAGGACAATCAACACCCCACATCTGCACCATTGCACGAGTGCCCACGTTTCTCCTGCAATAACTCCAGCTTTTTGTAAAGGCTGCTGTGAGATTTGGCCTTGAGAGGTGCCTCAGCACGAAACCAAAGGATTTTAATAATTAGGTTAAGTTCCCAGTATAACAATTCGCATAGATGAGGAATTTTGTGACTTTACTGGTTTGGAACTCCGTCTTCATTTGGCATGTATCTTACTCTTGCCTTGCTTTCTAGCTTTTATATAAATAAATCTTAACAGAATATAAATGCAGCTTCTGCCCTTGTTAAGACAGCTTTCCCAAACACAGCCAGCACAGAACTAAACGGTCCAACGTACCTGAACTCTAAGGACTAGGGCTCTCCTTCTGTGAGCACTGTCCCCAGCTAATAGGTTCAAACACGTAACGCAGCACTGTATTACAGGGAAAAAACCTGAATCACAAAGCCACTAGAATGCCCTCACCTTTACCAATTTATGGCATATCTTTTCTCCACTTAGTTGTTATGTATTTGGATGGCAAACTTGCTATGGCAAGAATGATCTCCCATGGTTTCCTAACACGGCTCCTATGACAACACCATTCCAGCGCCAGGCGCTGCGGTAACACAAATAATGCCAGGGCCACCGACGAGGTGGTGCTGCATCACATCTGTGGAATGAAAGCAGCCGTGCTTAGAGCTGCTCAGCAGCATTGCCACTGCACTGGTAGACCAGGAACATA